AAGAAGAAGAAGAAGAAGAAGAAGAAGAAGAAGAAGAAGAAGAAGAAGAAGAAGAAGAAGAAGAGGTTCTAGAAAATATTTTGCTCGAGAGTCCATCAAATACATCCTGAGCAAATGCTCTTTGTGATGTGATTGAACAAGGAAAAGAAATACCCTTCCGCTCTCATTTAAATTGTATTCTATTACTTTTCCTTTTTTTTATCCTCATCATGATCAGTCTGGACAAACTCAGTGCTTTTTGCTCTATTAAATACTCTGAGCATAGCATAAATGCTCTGATTTTTTTTAAATCTGCTTTTCCTTCCTTCCTTCCTTCCTTCCTTCCTTCCTTCTTTCTTTCCTTCCTTCCTTCCTTCCTTCCTTCCTTCTCACTTTCTGGAATGAAAACCTGTCTCACCCATATCCAAACATGACTGTCCAAGAGAATCACCCATTTCTTGTATGAACCAGAAAGTGTCCTTCATTAGAAATGTTTTGGCTGTTGGGGAGCAAGGGTAGAAATTAAAAACAGATGGACTCTTATTGTCAACAAAACTCCCCCCTTCCCCACCAACACCACCATCTCCCTTTCTAATGAAACACAGCCTGGACAAGACATTTCTTCCAACAAGATATCAAATCCTTCATCTTAACCAGAATTTGCCCGATCTAGGTTTGTTGCTAGGTAGCTTTTTGGAATTTGACTTCGGCATCACACACACACACACACACACACACACACACACACACACAGTTCTCCTCCTTTAAAAAAAAAAAAAGCCCGAAAGGGAGAGGCACAGAGCTCAATTGCACACCTTTCGTTCTTCACATTTTTCCAAGGGGAAAAAGGGGGAAGACTGAACTGCAACACCAGATGTGCCATTGAAGGACCCATCGGCTGAATCAAAGGCACCCACCTCTCTCCCCCACAAAGGAGAGGAAAGAGTGCCTTGTTGTGCATGAGAAACATCTGTCCGGGCGATCGCACGCATGTCCGTACGAGAGGTTCGTCGCTCTCCTGAGACAGAACGTTAACCAAAAGTGACCGGATTAACTCAGGAAAAAAAAAAACTCCATCCTTGCTGATGCCCCCACATCAAAAACTCCTCTGCAAACAATCCAGGGTGGAATTTGCAAAAAAAAAAAAAAGGAACAACGGCATAGGTACCCTTATCTTGCTTTCGATGAGAGCATATTTAAGCCCTTACCTCTGTAGCAAAGTCCAACTCTCTGGTCAGTGTTGGAAGGCAGCAGTGGCTGTCCAGATGAGAGCACTACTGTACAAGTGAGGCTCTCTGGCTGTCTCTAAACCCCACAAGCCCAATTCACGAACTTGCACTCTCTCCTTGGCCCCTCCCAAAAGTTAGTGCTAAGTGGAATACATATCCCTGATGTTTAGAATTGGCAGCCAGTGGCCGGCATTGTCCTCAATTTATTCTAAAAAAGCAGCCAATGGCTTGGCTGCAGCCAAAGGTGGGGTCAGCCAGCCTAAGAGATGCCTGTCATTCTGCAGGCACATTCAGGAAGCTGCTCATAAAAATAAAAAAAAGACCGAAAAACCCTCTGAAAATTCATACAGGCTGCCAAAATTGTCTTGTTCCATGCACTTTTTTGGTTATCCTTCCCAGGGCCTCTGAAAGTAAATCCTCTGTCAAGAACAATCATAAGAAATGTTAATCTTGGAGAAAGAGGCTCTCTTCTTTAAACACAAATGGAGGTGCTCAAAAAAGAAAACTGAAATCCATTTAAAAACCTGCACAGGGAAAGAGAGTGAGAGACAGAGAGACAGAGAGAGAGAGAAAAAAACAAACCGGATGCAGTTATTTGCCGATGCTTTCATTCTGGAGAGAATGCAGGGAATAACAACATCCAGCAAGCCATTTGCCACAAACAAAATAGAAACGACCGTATATGTTTTGGAAATGAATACCAGATGTTTTTAAAGAATGTCCTTTATCATTCAGAATTGGCTGGGAACAAAAGGGGAGAGGAGGGTGTAAAAGATGGCGAAGCCGACTCTGAAAACATTCTGGGTAGGAAACAAGATTTTCTATTTGCTTGTGCAACTTTAAACAATTTTCTCCCCCTTCCACCCGCCCCTCCCTGCAAAAAAACAAAACCCTTGGTTATTTCTTATGGCATATACACTTTTAGAAAACAGATTATAACTTTTTCAGACATATTATTAGGTCTATCGTCTAATGATTAATTATCAGGACTATCATCTATCTATCTATCATCCATCTATCATCTATCTATATCTATCTATCTATCATCTATTTATCTATCATATCTATCTATCATCTATATCTATCATCTATCGATCATCTATCTATATCTATCGTCTATCTATCTATAATATCTATCTATATCTATCATCTATCTATTTATCATATCTATCTATCTATCATCTATCGATTATCTATCTATATCTATCTATCTATATCTATCTATCTATATCTATCTATCTATATCTATCTATCATATCTATCTATCATATCTATCTATNATTCACAACTTCTGGAGGCAACTTTTGTTCCACTGATTAATTGTTCTAACTGTCAGGAAAATTCCTCCTTAGTTCGTAGTTGCTTCTCTCCTTGATTAGTTTCCACCCATTGCTTCTTGTCCTGCCCTCAGGTGCTTTGGAGAATAGCTTGACTCCCTCTTCTTTGTGGCAACCCCTGAGATATTGGAACACTGCTATCATGTCTCCCCTAGTCCTTCTTTTCATTGAACTAGACATACCCAGTTCCTGCAACCGTTCTTCATATGTTTTAGCCTCCAGTCCCCTAATCATCTTTGTTGCTCTTCTCTGCACTCTTTCTAGAGTCTCCACATCTTTTCTACATCATGGCGACCAGAACTGAATGCAGGATTCCAAGTGTGGCCTTACCAAGGCATTTTAATGTGGTATTAACACTTCATGTGATCTTAATTCTATCCCTCTGTTTATGTAGCCTAGAACTCTGTTGGCTTTTTTTGCAGCTGCTGCACACGGCTGGCTCATATTTAAATGATTGTCCAAGATCCCTCTCACAGTGACTACTGTTGAGCAAGGTACCACCTATACTGTACCGGAGCATTTCATTTTTTCTTGCCTAAACGTAGAACTTTACTCTTTTCTCCATTGAATTTCATTTTATTAGATAGCTCCCAATGTTCAACTTTGTCAAGATCCTTCTGTATCTTAAGCCTATATATTTCTGCGCCTCCACTGTTCTACTTACCTTAGAAAGAAAGCAGCTGAGCTTCAAATTGCTGTATTTTCAATGCTGCACGCAAGAGTGTTAGGTGCACAATCACCGAACCGGTGGTTAAACCAGTTGGAGCCCACCACTGAATGCATAGTACAGAACAGGCAAAAAAATCCCAGTTGTTCTCACTGAGTGGTGCCTTTCTTTAATTGACTTGTATGATTAGGGAAGATTCATGCTTAAATATGTAGCTTTTATTGAGTTTTGCCCTAACTCTTAGCACAGAAGAAGGGGCTGAAAAATGAAAAATTGCATGCCACCTTTGTTTTATTTCTTTTAGGAATTAATTAAATAGCCATGAAAGCATTAACCTTTCATGACAGAATTTCTCGAACCACCTTTAAAAAGGGATAGTGTTAATGGATGCACTTTATTAGTCCAAGAAAAAAATAAGTTCTGTTTTAATTAAAGAGTGAGAAGATATGGTTTTCTCTAGTGGCCTCCATGATTAGTCACCAGATTAACTGAATGGCAATTATTCCAGAATTCATCGTTTTATTTTCTCTTAATGGGCAGCGTTTCCCACTTCCTTCTCTTTCAGTGGTTTTGCAGATAATCAGTCGGGCCTCCTATGAGAGATGCAAGGAGTCGCTTGTTTTTCCTTTATAGAACCAGGAAGCGAATTAGCAACGATGAAATGCAGAATGCAAATGGCAGAACTTCACTTGTTAAAAACAAAGAATGATTGCCATTGATCGAAGTTCTGTGTCCACGTTTTCCTCACTGTAACATTCTGCTAAGTTTCTCGTCAGTGTTTTTTTTTCTTTCTTTTTGTCAGTAATGGGAAAATACCAACAGGAATGGCATTATGTCACAGACTTAACTTTGCTACATGTTAGAAAAGACGGAAACCTGGGAGACATTTTCTGTGACAACCCTACCTTTTTAATATTCAGAGTCTTTCACATTAAATAGGTTTACGGTTTTGTTTTGTTTTCAAAGTATGTATTATAAAAAGTATGTATTATATAAAACAAAAAAATATTGTTCTTTACACCTTTCAGATTTTACTTAAAAATAACCTTGTGAGATTTCCTCAGGTTTTTTTTCCCCATTAACGAAAAAATGTTCTGTATTAGTATGCATTTTAGGCTATGATTTTGACATTATGAAATATAACTATGTAAATAGACAGCATCATTTTCTATCTCCCAGCCTTCTTTATGAGTTATTTTATACAGTTTTCAAAACTTCAGTATGTTTTCATTGTTTTAAAGCTGTAAATCTCTACAAGGTTTGTATTAGACAAGGATATTATAAAGTTATCAATTAATCAAAATGGGCTGCCTGTTACTAGAAAGTAATTTTAAAAATCTCTGGGGTGAGAAGACAATATCTTCCTCCTGCCTCAGATTTATTTGATTTGTACTGCTTTCACACAATAAACCGTGATTTGGTCTTTGCCCAACTGGGTAAGATAATCTAAAAGTAAGTCTAAGTAATTTAAAACAATTAGTCCCTTTTAATAATTTAAACAATACAGCCAAAAGACAAACAGAGGTAGTGGCTCAGTGGCTAAGACGCTGAGCTTATCGACCAGAAAGGTTGGCAGTTCAGTGGTTCAAATCCCTAGCATCGTATAACGGAGTGAGCTCCTGTTACTTGTCCCACCTTCTGCTAACCTGGCAGTTTGAAAGCATATAAAAATGCAAGTAGAAAAATATGAACCACCTTTGGTGGGAAGGTAATAACATTCTGTGTGTCTTCAGCATTTAGTCATGTCGGCCACATGACCATGGAGACATTTTTGGACAACACTGGCTCTTTGGCTTTGAAACGGAGATGAACACTGGCCCCTAGGAACAACTAGCACATATGTGCGAGGGGAACATTTACTTTTACCTTTAATATGTTATTGTAATGTAGGTACTGATGAGTCAATATAGAATGCTTGCATCTACCTCTGTTTGTCCTTGGCTGTATTGTTTAAGACTAAGTAGTTTAAAAGTGGCAAATCTTGTGACCATGTCCTGAAATAGCCACTCATAGACTGAATTAAGGTTTTGATGAGTACAATGATATGCCTTACAGGGGGGATCCCCAACCCCCAGTTGGCAGCTGGTGCAAAACCCTGCCCTCTCCACCCCCACCTCACTGCCACCAATCCACACAACCAGAAAGGTTGTGTGGATTGATCTCTGCTTTGCAGTTTAGATTTTTGGTATTTTTCATATTTACAATTTGTTCATTTTCAAAGGTGTGTTTTGTTTTATTTGAGGAATTCATAATGTAAACTCTCTTTTTTTCAATTTTTGCTCATCAGGTACCACAGAGAAATGGCTTTATGGATTTGGTTATTGAGCATCCTGAGCTACTCCTGCATTTCTTGCGCATTACGGTCAAAGAAATTGGACACGTTCCAGAGTAAGACAGAACTTAGTCATCTAGCAGTGAACCACGATACGGGGACAGTCTATTTAGGAGCCGTAAATGCCCTGCATCAACTCACAAGAGACTTGAAACCCTCAATAGTTGAAGTAACCACTGGGCCACATTTGGATAACAAAAAGTGCACACCTCCCATTGAAGAAAGCCAGTGCTCTGACAAACAAATGACGGACAATTACAACAAATTACTGTTGGTGGACAACCAAGAGAAAAGAATAGTCGTTTGTGGGAGTCTATTTAGGGGCATATGCTCCATAAGAGAACTTGAAAATATTTCCAACAGGACTTACTATGAGACCGGCAGTGGGGAGAAATCATTTGTTGCAAGTAATGATGAGAATGTAGCCACTGTGGGGCTGATCACCTCCTTGAAAAAAGGCCGAATGATGTTTGTGGGGAAGGGCAATGGGGGGAATGACAACGGGGTCATAATCAGCACGCGGCAGCTTTTTAATGGAGACGGGAGAGAGATTTTTGAATTGTACGCTGATCCTGCTGCTATTAAATCAGCGTACCCTTACTCAAGCTCACAGCAGTTCCTCTATATCTTTGAGGACAATAAATTTGTTTATTTCATTTTCAATCAGAATGAGAGGCAGGCCACTATAAATAGGACACTTATTGGGCGACTCTGCAAAGAAGATGAGCATTACCATTCCTATTTTGAAATGGACCTGGAGTGTAAAGATGACACCGGCCCTTTTAATCAAAGCAATGCAATCTATGCTTCTGTCCATGGAGAACTCCCAACACTTCATCCGGCATCATCAGAACAAGCTTTTGAGGCCCCACCCCAGGACAAGCTGCTCATTGGCCTTTTCAGGAGGATGGAAAAAGACTCCTTGGTGTCTGCCATGTGTGTTTATAATTTGAGCGATATCAACAAAAAAATGGAAGAAAACAGGGAGAAATGTTATACAAAGGATTCACGCAATGTATTTTACAAACCATTCAGAACAGAAAATGCTCCATGCAAAACTACGTCGCACCAGGTGAGTTGAAATAATTAAGTTGCTGTGGAAGATGAGCATTCATCTAATGTTTCCCATCCATAGGATAAAACCACAAGACTCAAACATCATTAGTAAGCCCAAATGTGTCTTTTTTACCATATAGAGATAATCCTGTATAATATTTATAAAATCTTCTTTTTTCTGAGGCATTATTTCATATGAAAGACCCCTATTTCAAACTGCATTTCATTTATGTTTTTATGCTGGCCATTCAAGGGTTTCAAACAGGCACAGTTCAGTCAAACCTAAGCACGTCCATGAATACCTTTCAATAAAATAATTCCAATTTAAAAGTGCTTCCTGTTGGCTGAATTATTATGCCTTCATGGTTTCTGTATCAAGGGACAGTAGTTGCTTCTGCAAATAGATTTTTTATAGGAGAAAAAAATATTGATTATATTAATGGCAGTGTATCAGCAGCATTAGAGCACCTGAGTAAAGATTACAGGTCCTGCATATGGGGAACAATCTTTCTAGATGACATGTTAACATTGTTGAACATAATGCAGTTTTATAATCTATTGATCAATTCACAACTTACTGAGATGTCATAATATGCAGCTTTTCTATTTTTCTGAAACACTTGAATTTTCAGATCGATCCTAGTTTCAGGGTTTAGAGGATAATATTTGTTTGAATTTGTGATTCCTAATTCATGCCTCCTTTCTTAGAATTCAAGTGTAACGTTTCCATGTGGCTCTGAACATTTACCGTATCCTTTGGGAAGCAAAGAAGGAATTTCTGCAGAACCTGTGTTCAAAAAGGAAGGGATAAATTTAACAGCAGTGACCTTTGCTGTGGAGAATGGGAAGACTGTAGTATTTGTTGGAACATCAGACGGCAGAATTCTGAAGGTAATTTCTTATGTAACTTAAAGCTAAAAATTAGGTGAGATAGAATACTAAAATTACGACCATCATAAATTGGCTATAGACCTAAAGTTATTCCAAGTGATTGTTTGATTTTTAAATAAAATAAATGAAGCCAAAAGCATTTGAAGGATAAATTCTGAGAAGGCAATACAGATAGTTCTTGACTTAAAACCATTCACTTAATGACTGAATTCAGTGTTACAATAACATTGGAAAAAAAACCTCATGACCATTTTTCACACTTACAACCATTCCCATGATCAAAATACATGGCTTGGCAACTGGTTCATTTTCATGATGGTTACTGTGTCCAGGAGTCGGATCACCTTTTGCAACCCACTGATAAGCAAAATCAATGATGAAGCCAGATTCACTTTACAACCATGTTACTAACTTAACAACTGTCTTAACAGTGGCAAGAAGGGTTGTAAAATGGAGTGAAGCTCACTTTGAAACAGTCTTGCTTAACAACAAAAATTTTGGGCTCCATTGTGGTCATAAGTCTAGGACCTTCTGTACCTTGTTTAAAAGATTATGATACTGATATATAACTCAGAAATTAGTTCCTCTGATTCAGATATGCTTAAAGTTCATAAACTCATAGTTCAAGAATATAATAATCTGTGCATAACAATCCTACTTGGGGCAGTTTCTGTCATAAAGTGGTTGTTAACCAACTGTTGTGGCCCGCCTGCAGCCAGCAGAACTGGTAGCAGACTCAGACAAGTGAGGAGGTTGGGGAGGAACATGAGCCAGTCCTGGAGTCTGGGAAGGCTCTAATGAGGGCTCTGTGTTGGAGGCAGAGATGGGGCCAGGGCCAACCAATAGTTATCAGCTGCCTTTGGAGTCAGGTATCAGTGGGGCAGAAGAACAGCTGAAGCCTGTTCCCGATGTGTGCATGTGCAGAGTTGCCAGGAGAAGGTAACAGCTAAGGAGCAAGGGTCAACTCAGAAGGAAAGGCACAGGTGGACGGTGAATGGCCCCTCCCATAGGGAATAAAAAGGAGCAAAAGGGGAGGGAAGTTTTCAGGAGACAATTAGTTCAGTTCATTAGGGTGAAGATCTGTTCCTGACTTCTTGCCAAGTAATTGCTGCTACAGCATGGTGTTTGGAAGATATCGGCCTGGCAACTCTCCAAGCCTGATAAAGTCTGTAGTTGTGAAATTTCAAGAAAGACTATTTGCTGGGGCTTTGCTGGAGAGGAATTCCCTTTAAACTAAATAAAAGAGGTTTTAACGGAACGAGGAGTCTGCTTCATGATCTTGGGAAGCCTAGGTCAGAACACCAATACACATAAAGGCAAGAACTATATGTCCCTCCTCTCATACTGCTGTTATCTCCACTTCAACTTTCTGGCCATCTCCACACACACAGCTCTGCCCTTTTGGCTGCTCAACACTCTGCTGCTTTTTCTTATGCCTGTCACCACCCACCATCCCTAGCTGATCTTTGGGGGGAGGAAGACAGCAACGATCAACTGGGAAAAGTTGTGGGACAGAGAGGAAGCAGCAGTGGCATGCAGGATGGCTAAAAGGTAGGGATGGGAGAACATAACTGGATGGAGGAATTCAAATGCATGCTTGATAAATGCAAGAGGACGGCTAGGTACCCCAATTTTGATCACATGACTATGGGGCACTGTAACAACTGTAACTTCCAGGATCAGCCATAACTAGCCATTTTGTTTTCTGCTGTCATAATATCAAACAGTCACTGAATGAATGGTCATTAAGTGAAGATCACCTACAATTGAAATATAGTTTTCAGTCTAAAATCAGTGCAAACTCAACCCTCAAGGAAAACCTTTCCCAAAAGACAACGATCTATTAGTTTATTAGCCAAACATATTTGATTATGTTTTTCAGATTTAAAAAAAAAAAAAACTCCTAAAGGGTATCTCTTGACTTTTGGCAGGAAGATTTAGGAAGATTTTTAGAGTTGGGGCAGGTATATTAAGCTTCTAAAAAACTTAAATTAGACATTGAGCTTTAAAATATTGCTGAAACTTTTTTTAAAAAAGGGGGAGACATTATAACTTTTGACCAATCGAGAAAACCTTTTGGAAGACATAAAAGGGACAAATAGCAAGAAGAGCTGATGGCAAATGGAGCACAGTAGTCAGAGAATGGATCCCACTTGATAAAAAGCATCCAGGAAAGGGACCTAAAACAAGATGGATCGACGATATCAGCAGATATTGTAGAGCCAATTGACAAAAGAAAGCTCAGTAATGTACGGAAGAGGCCTTCTTCCTGCAGTGGATAGACAATGGCTAATATGATGATGATGATGATGATGATGATGATGATGATGATGATGATGATGATGATGATGATGATGATGATGATGATGATGATGAAGAGGGTGATAGGAAGGCTGCGCTCTAGGCAGAAATTCAATGTTGTCATTTCATTTATGGATTAATGAAGTGTATATACCAGACTAGTCATGGCTTAATTCAAAAGACTCTGGTTAAATCAGGGCCTAATGCAATAGTGAATGAGATCTAAATCATAGGTTTTCATTTTATCTTCTTCCCTTAGATACTTGACATCTGTTCACTGGCATAGCAATATGAGCAAACTAATTTATGTTCATTATGTTTGGCCTATTAACCAGGATTAGAAATATGCTTAAATATTATTTCCATTTTTAGTAGCTGTGCTTCCTGCAACAAAAACAGCTTTCTGGCATCTTAAAGACTACAGCAGCTGTTATTGGGAAAGCATTGGATCAGAGTATTTAGTGGTGGTCAAAACCCAGCAGAAAATATGTACAGTGGATTTTAACGAACTATTTTCTGGAGTGACACAGAAACATTTTTACAATTATGAGTTAATTTCCATTTGAGGCTGGCAAGCAAATAATTTGTTTATCCTAGTTTGCTTACAAATTTGTCTTGTAATGATTAAGACATACATGATAAGGGAAGAGGAAAGGAACATTGGTCCAAAATCCATATCCAGTTACTAAATAGCTTTTAATCAAATACTAATATCCTGTTATGCATGTGTTTGAATAAACACTTGGGACCTCAGTAGCCTCCTTTCCTCCTGTCCCTAGAGTTGAATGAGAGATATAAATAAGGTTTAACTTTATTTTCAACATGTCTTCATATGTCTTTATATAAGAATCAAAGTAGAGATTTAATTTTTATCTGCTGATCAGGATTTAAGCAGGTTTGCTTAACCGATCATGGTTTCTTTAAGTCTATGATATTTCTTATTCTGTAAGCAAAGTCTAAATCATGATTCTAGAATTACATGCCATAAACTCTCACCCTGATAGTTATGTGGTTTTAACACTTTAATAGATATCTGCTATAAATAAAATGGAACTATTGGAAAGTTGTTTGATAATATAATGACTTGCTATTTGAAAGCCTGGACCATATTGCTTCATAATACATCACAAAAAGGGCAAATCAAACTTTCCATTTGTTCTGGGAATAAAAACATTTAAAGTTATCAATACTATTTAAATAAAAACATATTTTCTCATTGCTTAAAATTATTTAATTAGATCATTTTAACAAAAGGTGTGTATTTAAATGCATTTTAAGTGAATAACCATCATTCTAATTTGACTGGAAACAGATAAAATAATATACCTAATCTGCATTTCAGGCAGCTTTGTCAAATCCTGCAAAGGAATATGCTAGCATTCTTATTGAAAAAAACAAGCCTATTAAAAAGGATCTTCTTCTTGATGCTGTCCATGAGAACCTATATGTGATGACTACAGATAAGGTACAACATCTTTGGTAGCAATAATGAGATCATAAAAAGTGTTGTTAAATGTGTATTTCTGCATCATAGGGCCTATCTGCAGGACTATTTAATGAGCCATCAACAAATTACTGTGATGCTAAATGAAAATTACAGCAATTGCATGTTTACCTTTACTGGCATGAGAAGCAAGTTAAGTTTTCTTTATTCTTGAATAAAATAAATAAAGTCAGATATTTGGGGAAATGTATTAAGAAATTTACAGCAGAGGGAATATGGCTGTTATATTGGCAGAGAGAACGCTTTTCCCACATTTTGTTTCCACAACTAACATTAATAGCTCTCCTTTAATTCACACACACAGCATCTATTTCTAACATAACATTTGGTTTGACCTTAATTCAAACCCATTATGAAAACCACTGGACCACAAGGCTCAGTTGCAAATAATTGTAGTGATTTATTGTCCAACTGTAGCTGGGAAGTACCATTAGAAGATGACATGCATCTTGCAGCAGAGTTAAGATAGCAACAACAATGATGCAATATTTGGTGCAAAACTACCTTCCCCCCCCACAAAAAAATATTAAGAATTATCAGAATGTTTGACACAGGAAAACAGACAATACAGATAGGAAGCCAGTATGTATCATATAGAGAAACCATTAGATATTTTCTTAAGCTCCTGCTACATCATTTCAGTCGGCAGTTCGACAGTTTGAATCCCTAGCGCTGTGTAATGGAGTGAGCTCCTGTTACTTGTCCCAGCTTCTGCCAACCTAGCAGTTCGAAATCATGTAAAAATGCAAGTAGAAAAAATAGGAACCACCTTTGGTGGGAAGGTAACAGTGTTCCATGCACCTTTGGCATATAGTCATGCCAGCCACATGTCCACGGAGACATCTTCGGACAGCGCTGGGTCTTCGGCTTTGAAATGGAGATGAGCACTGCACCCTGGAGTCAGGAACGACTAGCCCATATGTGCGAGGGGAACCTTTACATCATTTCTGTTAATATTATGGAAACCATGGAGCTGCTAGAAGCTTGAATCAAACTTTTATTCTTCCTGTACGCTATTCCAATTTTCATGTAGTAATCGGAGAATACCCACACCATCAATTCCCACAATCTCTTATGTTTTTGTTTATCATGTTATTTAACCAGATGTGGTTGTTCTCAAATGTAGTCTTCTAAATTAAAAACAACTCACACTAGTTATTATTGCTGTTCACTTGATGGCTTAGATTTCCTGCCTCCTCCTGTTTCTTGAAAATGCTGTTAAGAATAATCAGCAGAAGTTTGTTTGTGAAATAGGTACAATTGGCAAAATTTACAGTGGAAAAATCTGTACTGAACTTTTTCAATCAATACATTCATATATAATTTGTATTGCGTTATAAATTCATAATGATTTGCTTTGAAAGTGCTGGGATTTTAAAATGAGTGCTTTTGTCATATGGCTTAAGAGCCATCTCTTTGATATTAAATTGCTTGAAGGAAGATATTGCAGGAACTTAATTTGACTAACAGTTATGAAATATGACATTCTAATTCTTAGCACATTGACTTGAAATAAATCCTATTAGACTCCCAGAGTGGTGTCTTTAATAAGGATGTATATAGACCATAATATTCATTTCTCATCATGACTGAGTGTTGGGGAAACCCTTCACTCACCTCCCAGCCAAATTTGAAGTGAGGTTCAAAAATGTTAAGCCTTCTATCCCTCACTAATTATCATGAGAACTCCCATAAACAACTGTATGTTGTAATTATTTACAAAGTGTGTTCTAAACTTTTTTTTAATGAGGGCTGACGACAAAGGATCCCAAGTGTCTAAGGCACTTTGTGAAAACAATTTGATTAATGAAAATTTGGAAGTAAGAAATAAAGGGGAAGAACCCAAAGACCATTGAATTTTTATATGAACAATGAGAGTTTTTAAAAACTCTTGAGTGGCATTTTGAGGCTTGGAGGGAGGGGCTGGGTGGTACTATTAATTTCAGCTGCCTTGTGGTTGTATAAGCATCCAGTGAAATGCAATCTGCAACATACTTGTACTGACATTTCTACCGAAAGAAATGAGCATTGCGTGACATGAAGGAGTACCCATTAATCCTGCACTCCTAGTTCCAAGAGAGTGCTTCCTTCCCTTCCCCCCAGCTCTCAATTATGCATTATAAAGGATAGAATTGTGGTACTTACTGTGCTAATATCGCAGCTCAGTGGGCAGAGGATGAGGAAGGGATGGGTGTTTATTGCTAGCTAGGAGTTATTAAAACTAAATGGAATCCCAGGTTCAAAAGCAGTTTATCACAGAACATCAGATTGAGTGAGAATTGTTTCAAAAGGGAAAAAAACTTTGCAGTAGTTTTCAGCATAATACTACATCATACAAATGTGTTGTTAAGTAGGTATAAACCAATCCATCATTGGACTTTCATTGGATTGGATGGCTCAGAAGATACTGATCTTCCGGGGTTAGAATAGTATTGGAGAATGTTTGTTCCTGAGATTTTTTTGTTAAATTATTCAAGGAAAATGCAGGACAAATTGTGGATAAGCTAAGAGTACAAAATGTCTTGTTGGAATACCATTTGTGTGCAAACATCATTTTTCATGATTTCTTTTTCAAAGTTACTGTGATATTCTTATTGGTTTCTTTTCTAGGTATTTCGTTTGCCTGTCCAAGACTGTGTTAGTTACTCCACCTGTAACCTTTGCATCCAAGCACGGGATCCTTACTGTGGCTGGTGTGTAACAGAAGGAAAGTAAGTGTTGTAGCAGCAGCTAAGAGAGAGATATCTTAGTATGCAAGTTAATTCTTTTCACAAGGCCAGGACGTTGACTAATTTCTTCCAAGCATTTGTATGAGAACTGAAAAATCTTCATCACAAATTATCACAATATAAACATATAATGAGCAGCAGGGTGGAAACCAATTTACATTTTTTCTTGTATAGTTTGAATATAATTTGCATGAAAATGGTAGTTGCCAAGCCACAGCTGGTGAACATTTAGTATTTATCTAGTGATAGTCTTATTCTTGTGTGTTAACCCTAAACGGTCGTTAATATAGCTCCAAAAATTATGCTTATAAATCATTAGAGGCAGAAGGGATAAACACTATGCCAAATTTTGCTTTCTTTTGTCTATGTTTCTAGCTAAAAGGTTTTTCATGTCTGAAGCATTTTCTAAAAAAATTTTTTTTGCTACTGAAGGATAAACTAGAATTTGTAATGTTCAGCATGCAATGACAGAGACTTATCCAGGATTACGTCTGCAATGTGGTGGATGCCAGGTTTCCAAATCCTTTCACACTTGGCAGTTCCTTAATGGTGACAGTTTACATTAGTCAAAATTACAATTTGGTTCACCTGAAGCATAGACATTACAAAACTGAGTTAATGACAACAACAGAATTCTTGTGGGTTTTTTTAATTTGCCCATTTAAGCATTGATACTTATTTATTAATTATTTATCAAATTTACATAATATGCAATCTCCCCTAGATGTAGCTCTAGACCAGTAATTCCCAACATGGGGCCCATGCCCCACAGGCGGGCAACTTGATTTTCAATGGGGCAATTTGAACCTTGTTTAAACCAAGTTAATGGCCTTTTAGGCTTCCTCTGTGCGAGAAGAGTTCACTTTTTGAGTAAAATAAGAATTGTATGTCATGGGGGGGGGGGGTCAGGATTTTAGCGATGCTTAGGTAGGGCATGGCCAGAAAAAGGTTGGGAAACACTGCTCTAGACAGCTTACAGTCAACAAAAACAACAAAATTAAAAATTAAAACAATAAGTATTAAAACATTTGTTGTTAGTTGTGAAGTCGTGTCCAACCCATCCACTACCATCCCCTGGAGCCCATTTAAGCTCATGCCAACTGCTTCAGTGACTCCATCCAGTGACCTCATTTTCTGTCGTCCCTTTCTTCTTTTGCCTTCAATCTTTCCAGAGAGTCCTTCCTTCTCATTAGGTGGCCAAAGTATTTGAGTTTCATCTTCAGGATCTGGCCTTCTAAAGAGTAGTCAGGGTCCTGCAGGACTGATCAGTTTGATTGCCTTGCAGTCCAGGGGACTCACAGGAGTCTTCTCCAGCACCATAGTTCAGAGGCCTCAATTCTTTGTTGCTCAGTCTTTCTTATGGTCCAACTTTCACTGCCATACATTGCAACAGGAAAAATCATAGCCTTGACTATACACACTTCTGTTGGCCGGGTGATATCTTTCCTGTTTAGTATGCTCTCTAGATTTGCCATAGCTTCCCTCCCCAGGAGCAAGCATCTTTTAATTTCTTGGGTGTAGTCCCCATCTACAGTGATCTTGGAGCCCTTAAAGCCCTTAAATATCTTTAAACATTACCTTAAAATTAATAAAGATGAAAAGGAAGTGAGATATAGCCACAGTGTTTTAAAACACATGTTGGAGGAACTAGAAACTAACCTAACTAATAATTAACCAGAAATATAAGCCAATTGATTAGAAAAATTATTCTTAGCACATTAGTTTCGGTTTTATGTTTATGCTTTCTTAGATTTATATATCAACTGCCCACTGGAAATTCAGTACCATTTCTCTTGTTTAAATTTGTGCAGCATACTGCATACAACATAATTAAAAAGTGAACTATTTTACCTGCCTATACACTCTCTGTGATTTCAGATTGATCTCTTCTGGGTTATGCATAAGATTAAATCTTACTTCTTGAAAAACCTGTGCCATAATCAGGGATGGTTATTCACTTACCTTCTCTACCGGTTCACAAATGTGAACGTGTGCACATCTGTGCCTGCACTTTGGCTTTAAAAAGTGCCTAAATGGGCTGCCATAGAGTCAGGGTGGGTGGGTGAAGCTACCCATGATTTCCACTACTGGTTCAGACAAGCCGGTCCAAACCGGCAGAGTACCATCTCTGACCATAATACCAAAGAGCTGTTTTAGGGAGAGGATCTCAACATATCACAAACAATAAATCCCAGTCGATATTGTTAAAAACACAAAATGTACAAACACTACCTATATATGCATATACAGGTTATTTAAATTTACAAATGTGAGTGGAGAGTTTTTAGGAAAACTTTAAGCAAGATTTTATTTTCAATTTGAATAAGTTTTCATTTTATATACATTACCTTTCCAGTCTATATCTTTTCCCTTTTTTACCAGTATTAACATTTACAATTTAAAGGTATTATATGGAATTGCCTGTCTTTTTATTGTTTCTCTTTTTTCATTTCTAGAATTTACAGTCATTAGATAAAATTTCCAAGCTTTTACATTGCAATTTTGAGAGAAAAACAGTTCATGTTATTATTATGTTTTTTTCACACAGTCAGCCAGATGTTTAGACTGGATTTGGCATTTTATCCACCATAAGCAGATGTTATTATGGTTTGTCATACAATCAATCAGATACCCATGCTATATTTGGCAGTTTTTGACCACCTATTGAGTCCTTCCCAAGGACCTGGGATAAGCAGGTGTGGATGTCTGATGTTGTTGCAGATATTATCACTGGATGTAAGCTGTTCCGAATTAGGCTGCCTTTTGCAGTTGACTGATGGTAATTTTGATCAATGCCAATGGTGTTCAAATAGTGCTCCAGATGTTTGGGATTGAAAGAGCCAATAGGCCCAAGAACAGCAATATCAATAAACTGTATACTTCGGCCCTCTACAACCATGATATCTGGCATGTTGTGCTCCAAATGACGATCCATTTGTATTTGAAAGTCCCACAAAATCTTATTTTATTGTTGTTGTTATTATTGTTATTGTTGTTATTGTTATTATTGTTATTATTGTTAATATTGTTAATATTGTTAATATTGTTATTATTGTTATTATTGTTATTATGTGGTTAATCTTTGGTGAGATGGTTGGTAGTTCAACAGCTCGAGTCCTAACCAAGGACCTAGGAACTGTTAAGGTAACGTCGGAGGATATAAGCTGTTCCAAGTAGGGTGGTTTTTTGTAGAATCAGAATATTCAAGTCTGATAAATTTAAATTTTCCAAATAGCGAGGTAGCCCTTTAGTTATTTCTCCAAGGGCTCCAATTTCAATCAGGACAACACACAATTTCTTTTTCCACATTCGCTCAACTTCAATTTGCAAGTTCCGGTACTTTGTGATTTTTCTTGCTGTTTATCTTCAATTCGTGCATCTCCAAGTATTGCAATGTCAATGAACTATAATTGTTATGTCAGGTGTGTTGTGGGCCAAGTGCCTGTCAGTCTGAATTCTGAAGTCCCACAAGATCTTGACTTTCTCATTCTCTAAAACCTTCTGAACCTGATGTTCCCAGTGGTTTTTGCTCTACTACTACTACTAGTACTACTACCACCACCACCACCACCACCACTATCATCATCATCATCATCATCATCATCATCATCATCATCATCATATACTGATACTACCATTCATTCTACCAGCTACTGAACAATCTATTCATCACTTGACTGAAGATCAAGCATAGTAATTAAATGATATTTCAGAAGTATGCTTAAAATTTGCTGAACCAAAATTTTTGAATGTCTCTAGGCTTATTTTTAATCAGTAACAGAAGGAAGTATGGGTCTAAATTCTGTTTCTAAGTACAATTAACCCCATGGCAGAACCAAGTGGGATTTTGTGATATGAAGTTCATAAACTTGGCACACAGTTTACTTAATTATAGGAAGAGCTAGGTTTGGGGGATCCTGCTTCCCCTCTAAATATTTAGAAGATTTCAGCAAAATTACCGAAAAGCTTTCAGTAGTGCAGTGCCAATGCATACTGTCTGAAATATTTGGTCATTGCCACCCATAAAATATGAATAAAATAATCACATTTCCTGGAAAAGTAGCTTTTCTTTTGGCTTCTGGTGATGACTTTTTCTCTCATTATTTTGAGGTATCAAAGATCTATGCAGGAAAATGTATGGTTTGATACATGTAGTAAAACCAAATCAAATCTGTGAGTGGCACCAACAAATATTAAATAATAGTGGCCTTGAGGAAAGATTTGAGACAAAATAAAAAGAACCACATTAAAAAGATCAACATCACTTTCTCAGGGATGTTTCAAGAATATACTAGAAGTTAGAACCTTAAAGCAGAACACAGTGAACATAAAATTTATTTCTTGTAGCATTTGATTCTTTTATTTTGGTTACAATGTTATAGTTCAGGGGTCTCCAACCTTGGAAACTTTAAGACTTGTGAACTTCAACTCTCATCTTTGCTGGCTGAGGAACTCTGGGAGTTGAAGTCCACAAGTCTTAAAGTTGCCATGGTTGGAGACTCCTGGTATAGTTAATACTCTACATAGAAAACTTGTAGTATTCTAGCTAAACTATAACTCCCAGCACTCACCAACATTGTCCATGTCATAATTCAAATCTTGGACCAGGACCAAGGTTCCCAGATTCAAATTCTTAAGCAGTTATGAAATTCCCTTGGTATGCCTAAAGTAAAAAAAAAATCTTAAAGCAAAGACCTCTCTAATAAGGAGGAAAATATGGATGCAACATATGCTGGACACTTGGAAAAAGCATAAAATACAAATGTTAACAGTTAAATGTGAAATAAAAATAATGAAATAGAGACATGCTTACCTTTTTAAAAAAAATATTGAGGAATATTGTGGCATATTACAAATTTCCTATCCTGGAGCTTAGAGCTCAAACTGGGGATTTCATTTGCCAGTAGTAACAGCACTTTGGTGCAACACAGTATGTGGTAGATACTCATTAGTCTTAAGTGTCAGTAGTGATAATGTCTTAATTACGTGAAGACAGCTATTGTACACTGCCAACATTTTATTTTAGTGTCATATTTACATAATCCCAGATTACATATGTCAGATTTCTACCATTTAGCAGTATGATGCAGATTATTAAATTCATTCATTCATTCATTCATTTTATATGCTAGCTTTACTAAGTAGACCAGACAAGAAACACTACCAAATCAGCTAATTCTACTTCATTGTAAAGTTACATTAAAACTCTGAAGGTACAGATCTCTTCCTGCCTTCTTTACAAAATTACAGAGGGACACTTCTGAGTTTCTTGCTCTACCCACTATCCAGCTGCAGACTAGTTGTCTCTTATCTGATCATTCCGTAGGCAGAGTTTTGTGGCTTATTCTCACAAGGCCTTTCCCACACACCATTGCATTGTAGTCACCCATTTCTCATATGTGACTCTGGGCAGCTCACAGACTTTAAAATAGAAAACAAAAATAGTTACAAATAAACAATTACAACTGTTAAAAACCAATTCAAACAGTTCAAAGAGAAGGCCCATTGGTTTCATTGCCACATGGGATTGGCAGAAAATCTTGGAGGAAGCTCTAGAAAACCATTGTTGGTCTGAGTAGACATTACTGAACGTATTCATCAGTGTTAGCTTTTCCCAAAGGTATAGGCCAAATAAAGTTTCCTGTAGTCCAGGAAAATTTTTCATAACAATTTGTGACTCTGCCCAGAAGAGTTCGAAGTAAGATAGTTCTGTTTCTATTCTACTTTGCTACTTAATTAAAAATATACTTGATGTCTTGTATTAAGCATGTGCTATTTTTTAACATGCAAGAAATAGAGCATACTAAATACGTTAGAAAAATACCCAAGACAATTCAACTAGAATTTGCAATTCAGGAGAGGTAACTTTCATGATCACTCACACTGAGCTGCAAATAAAAAGTTTTTGCCAAGTGTGCCATTCCGTGTGGGTTTAGACTCGTTGATAATTAGGTACTTACAATATCTCATAATATTTTCAGTTGTCTAGCTTCCCTGTGTCTGCTCATGAAATTTAGGTCTGCCACAGCTGCTGGTTTGCTATCCATCTCAAAAGATCTGTATTAATGGAATCTATTCCTGTAGAATGCATGTGGTTGTTTCATTGTATTTTTATTTTTATTTACATTTCATGCGTATGAGGCAATAAAATATTCAGCCACCCAAAGTCACAGTAAATTTTGATGGGCTCTCCTGCATTTAGCTCTATTTGGAGTTGTCGGTGCTTTTCTATTCCTTAAAATTATTGACAAAACCTGAAAGTAGATCATATCTCAAGAACTTTGTTAAATTCATATTCCCTCCAGCAATGAAAAATAACAAATTCCAAAGCCAGAAATGTTTGCTTTTCTCTCTGGCACAGTAAGAGCCTAGGGAGCTAAGCCTCGGGCTAAAAATAAAGAACCAATGACAAATTTGAAAAGTGCTAAAGAATAATCAAAACAGTCCAGATTTATATACTTCATAAGCAGTTTAGCTTCTTAACAGCTAAAGCTACTTTTCCATTATATGTTTCTTGAATATTAGATTAGATTTTCCAGTACTGTACAGTAAATTGTATTTAAGATAATTATTTGTACACTTATTGTTGTCATTTTAAATGCTCATAGGTAATTATCTTGTCGTAAAGAACAATAAGTAAACTGAACGAAAAGAAAAATGAAATATTAAAACATTTAATGTGTGCCATCTGTCATTTATCAATTTGCATAGGTTTGAATGTCATTTCATTTTGACTGAGTGCTGAGTTAAAAATTTTAATTACTTTGGATAACATTAGGCGTTATTATTTATTCCAGATGCACAAGGGAAAAGGACTGTGGAAGATCAGCTAAGGAAAATAATTGGCTTTGGAGTCCTAATGGTGAATGTTTGAGTATTACAAGTGCTAACCCTCAAAATATGAGCCGGAAAGTTCTGAGCAAGGTAAATGTGCAATGAATTCATCATAAATATGGAAAAAAATGTTTGGGTGGTTGGGAAATAATTGTTGCATGGTCATACATAAATTCAGTTTAGATTATTTTAATTAGCATTATTCTTTGTGCTTGTTTAATTTGGTGTATTCTTGTGTTTATTACTGAGAAAATGCTAGTTTTATAGAAAGTCTTGAATTTCTATTTTTGCTTTTCAAAACATCTGGATGCAAAAAAAAGTGACATTTGCCTGTACCCAAGAAATTGACAGTTTAACAGACATATATAGAGCTATATTTTGAGTTGTGAGAGGCAAAGAGGTAGTTTGACTTAAAGATTCCAAGTTTTGAAAATACCAAAGTTTCATAATATCTACTTAGATATCTACTTGCATGGTTCCATGCAAGTAAACTAAGTACGATTATATCCTATGGCTTCTCTATTACTCTTAATATACTTTTAATATAGTGTTAATCAACCTTGAGATCTTTAAGATGTATGGATGTCAACACCTAGCTAATCTTGCAAGCTGATGAATTCTGAGAGTTGAAATCCATATGTTTTAAAGTTCCCAAGTTGAGAAACACTCCTGTAATATCTGAGAAAAGAGACATGCCAATTTTGCAGATTAGCCTTCCAATCAGAGCTTAAACTATAGCTAAACAAGTCAAAAACATTATGAGAACCTCAGCTATTATAATAATAACCCTGTAAACCCAAAACTTTGAAAGGAAAAACGCAGAATTAAATACTAAAGAAGATCCTTCTTAGGAGATATAATATAGAATTACATTTACTGGCTATTTCTAGTATATCCAAGAGACAGAAACATCTGTTGTTGACATATCTTTAGTAACTGTGCATTTTGCACAAAATGATCAAGAGATTTCCTGTTAGATAATTCCATTGTTCAAATGGTAAACTACAATTTGGGAGTCCTTTGCAATTAGGTATTTATAAGAAGGATACCGAAGCATGTTGTGGTGGGTTAGCAATTGAAGACTCAGCCTTAATAAGCAAGGTATCTTGCTGAGATCATCATTACTATAAAGCAGAAAAAATCCTAAGTCATGAATTTATTTTGTTTAGAAAGATAGGATACACAGGTCTGCGACTAAAAAGCTATTTGATTATTTTCATCTAATTTCCATGTATTTTGGTGTGCTGAATCCGAAAATGACCTCCATTTTGTCATAGGACATCATGTTTCCTGACAATTTAGGTAACTATATTAAATAAGGCAATACCTCAAAATAAATGGAAATAGACTTATAAAATTAAAGTTTTATTACAATATTTTCATGAAAATCCTT